CAAGTTGCCCAGGTGGGTCTCGAACTCGCAGGCTCAGGCAATCCACTCACCTCAGCCTCCCAAAGTGCTGGGATTACAGGCTGAGCCATCGAGTCCGGCTAAAAAAAACATTTTTTAAAAAGGGGAATATTATACTACCTTAGGAAAATGGGCGATAAAGTTTAGGGTGTTTTGTTCCAAGTTCTTAGTGTCTGTTACCTGTTTTTCAACTATTTCACCAGCATTATGCTTTAGTATTCTATTTTTACTAATGTAACAAGCTAGATTCACTTTTTTTTTTTTAATAAGGGTCTCACTTTGTTACTCAGGTTGGAGTGCAGTGGCATAATCACAACTCACCGCAGCCTTGATCTCCTGGGCTCAGGTGATCCTACCACCTCAGCCTCCCAAATACCTGGGACTACACGTACACTCCACCACACCCGACTAATTTTTTAATTTTTTTGTAGAGACAAGGTCTGTGTTGTCTAGGCTGATCTCAAACTGCTGGGCTCAAGCAATCCTTCCACCTTGGCCTCCCAAAGTGCTGGAAATACAGGCATGGGCCTAGACTCAGTTTTAAATTTGCAGTAATATAGAAGGTAATAGTGCTTACTCTCCCAGGGTAGACTGTTTCCTTCTACATCGTCTATGAATAAAACTATCTGAAGATGCTCTTTTTGTGTGACTTGATTCTCTCACCTTCTTGGAAACTTATTGCTTCCCTTTATCAGCAGTGAGCCCAAAGAGATAGTTGAGAAGTCTAAAACCCCAAGCCGGAGAAACTCCCGAACTGAAGATCCAACTGTGTCTTCTGAAAGTGTGGAAAATGGACATCGTAAACGATCCTCTCGACCTGCGTCAGCCTCCAGCTCTACTAAAGGTTAGCAGTGAGATGTGGGTCACATAGAGGAAGAGTCCTTCTCACAGCAGCAGGAGACTTTGTCCTTTACCTGTGCTTCTGTTCCTTAGATTTATCAAGTGTCTTTGACTTCTACTACTTGTTAGTTTATTTAACTATATGTTTTCTGTGTGTGTACACAAAAGTAACAAGCACTCCTAAAAAAAAAACAGAGCAGATTGATTCCACTTAAATTCATGATCACCCACTTCAGTTAGATCCTGAGCATGACCTAGCCATCTTTCTATGTTTCTGTGGTCAACTCTTTTTCCTTCTCTAGTCTTTTTAAACCTCTGACTTTTGCTTTCTCCCTGCCCTGTTGGTAGAGACCTTCACCTCTTCATAGAGAAAATAGAACTCCCTCAACTTCCCATTGCCAAGACATATATCTACCAACATCCTCCTTTGCTCCAATTATAATAGAGCAGCTATCCCTCAAAACTGTATCTAGTTTCTCCATCTGTGCCTTTGATCCATCTTTTCTGATCTTCTCAAGACCTTTACACTGTGTGTTCTCTTCTCTGTTGACTACTATCTCCTTTTTGAATTGATTCTTCTCTTGGCTTTGTTTTCTGCTGCCTCTCTGGCTATTCCTTCTCATTCTCTATACCCAACCATTATATGATAAACTTCCCCAAACTTTGATCCTGAATCACCTTTTCCCTTTAATTTTTATTTTGTCCCTAATTGATCTCATTCATGCCCTCCTTCTTTAGTTACAACCTTTCACAGATGACTCATAAATGTGTACTTCTTGGCCAGGCTCAGTGGCTCAGCCTGTAATCCCAGCTCTTTGGGAGGCTGAGGGGAGTGAATTGCCTGAGCCCGTGGGTTCAAGACCAGCCCGGGCAACTTGGCAAGACCTCATCTTTACGATAAATCAGAAATTAGCCGGGCGTGGTAGCACTACTCATTCCGGCTACTTGGAAAGCTGAGGTGGAAGGATCGCCAGAGCCCAGCAGGTTGATGCTGGAGTGACTGTGAACGTGCCACTGCACTCTAGCCTGGGTAACAGAGTAAGACTCCAACTCAAAAAAAAAAAACTGTGTATTTCTTTTTTGAAGTCTCACTCTGTTGCCCAGGCAGGAGTGAAGTGGCATGCTTACGGTCATCACAGCCTCAACCTGCTGAACCAGTTGATCCTTCCATCTCAGGTGCATGCCACCATACCTGGCTAATTTTTTATTTATTGTAGAGATGAAGTCTTGCCAGGCTGGTCTCGAACCTGGACTCAGGTAATCCTCTCGCCTCCTCCTCCTAAAGTGCTGGGAATACAGGTGTGAGCCATTGTGCCAGGCCAGTTTTTCTTGATTTGCTGTAGAGATGAGATCTCACTAAGTTGCCCAGGCTGTTCTCAAAGCCCTGAACTCAGGCAATCCTCTCACCTCGGCCTCCCAAAGTGCTACGATTATGCCCGGTCATAAATTTGTATTTCTAATACAGACCCCTAGAGATCTTAGACAACTTCATGCACATCCTTGGTGAAACCTCAAACTCAAAATGTCTGAAGCCAAACTTGTTTATTTTTGACCCCAACAGTGAAGTCCTCTGCCATTGTTCTCCATCTCAATGAATGGCACTACCATCTGTCCATTAGGCAGGTCCCTCCTTAACACCTCTCTCCCTCACCCTCACATCGAATTTATCACAAAAAGCTGCTGATTTTATTTTATTGTTTATTTTTTATTTTTTGAATTGGAGTCTCACCCTGTCGCCCAGGCTGGAGGGCAATGACACAGTCCTGGCCACTGCAGCCTTGACCTGTTGGGCTCGGACGATCCTTCTGCCTCAGCCTTGCAAGTAGCTGGAACTACAGGCATGCGCCACCACACCCAGCTGATTTTTGGATTTATGGTAGAGATGAGGTCTCACCAAGTTTCTCGGGCTATCTTGAACCCATGAGTTCAGGCAGTCCTCTCAGCCTGGACAACTTCACGAGAGACCTCATCTCTACAATAAATCAAAAAATTAGCTAGGCATGATAGTGCGTGCCTGTAGTTCTGACTACGTGGAAGGCTGAGGTGGAAGGATCACCTGAGCCCAGCAGGTCAACGCTAGGGTGGCCATGAGTATGACACTACACTCCAGCCTGGGCAATGGAGTGAGACTCCAACTCGAAAATAAAACAAGCAACAACAACAAAAAAACATTCAATGAATGAGTTATCATTGTAATTAGGATTAAAGTCTAAAAGTGTCAACATAGCCAACAAGTTCCTGTGTGGTCTTGCCCCTGTCATCTTCCAGCCTCATCTCACCTCCCTCAGCAACTCAGACATGCTGTCTTCATTCCAAGGCCTGTGCATATGTTGTAGCTGTTGCAGGGAGTTCTCTTCCCTCTTCCTACGTCTCTTCTCTTTAACGTCCCACTCTTCCTACTTATCTTAGTTCAGCCATCACAGCTATGAGGAATCAGAGTACCAGGTTCTTCTCCTTTGTAACACCACAGCTGTAACTTTATGCCTACTTTTAGGACAGGTAATTAATACATATATTCTATTAGAGTAGGAAATCATGTCTGGTTTTCTTCACCACCCTATCCCTGGTACCTAGAATTAGGTGCCTAATACAGAGAATTATCAATCAGTAATTATTAATTTTTTTTTTTTAGTTGGAGTCTCACTCTGTTGCCCAGGCTGGAGTGCAGTGGCACAATCACAGCCACCCCTGTGTTGACCTGCTGAATTCCAGCGAGCCTTCCGCCTCAGCCTTCTAAGTAGCCAGAACTACAGGTGCATGCTACCATGCCCGGCTTATTGTTGTGTGTAGACATGATGTCTCACCATGTTGCACAGGCTGGTCTCGACCTGCGGGCTCAGGCTATCCTCTTGCCTCAGCCTCCCAAAGTGCTGAGATTATAGGCTGAACCATCACACCTAGCTAGAGTTTGTCTTTCAATGTGTTAATAACAGAAACTGCCTTTTCACTATTTTATCTTCAGGGCCTAGAATGTAGTAAGTATATAACACATATTTGATACATATTCATTTAATAATTACTAATTTAAGCTACTTGGAAGACTGAGGCAGAAGGATCACCTGAGCCCAGCAGATTGAGGTTGTGATGGCCATGAATGTGCCACTGCACATCTAGGCTATAGAATATGATGAGTAATTACCTTTAAAGCAGGAAAAAGGCATTGGTCTTAGAGATGGCACACACCAGATTTTTGGATCTTGAGCCCTGAGCGCCAGGGTACTAAAGGTGTCATTTACAGTGTACCAGAAAGAATCTAAGGAGCAGTTGGGACAGTTTAAAAGATATGCTCAGGGCAGAAGGATCACCTTAGCCCAACAGATTGAGGTTGTGATGGCCATGAATGTGCCACTGCACTCTAGCCTCGGCAATAAAGTGAGACTCCAGCTCAAAAAAAAGAAAAAGAAAAACAAAACCTAATACAGTGTGTTAAATGCTAAATGCTATGATAGCAAAATTACATACTATCAGAGCATATAGCCGGGATGCCTTACTCCTCTGCCAGGTCAGAGAAGACTTGCTGGAAGAAATAATATTTAGGTGAAACCAGAAGAATGAGGAAGCATTAACTAGACTATGCAGGTTGACTGTGTCCTAAACAAAAAGTACAGCAAGTGCATAGGCCCCGATCTGAGAGAGGTTATGATACCTTATCCTTTCAGGAAATACCCTGAGTTTGATTGACTAGCTCAATTTAGGCATGAGCTGGGGTCTTGGCTGATGGCAGCAGGACTGTTAAGAAGTGGTCAAAGTCAGATGCTCAACACCTGTAATCCCAGCACTTTGGGAGGTGGAGGTCAGAGGATTGCCTGAGCCCAGGGGTTCAAGACCAACCTGGGCTACTTGGCAAGACCTCATCTCTACAGTAAATCAAAAAATTAGCTGGGAGTGGGTGTCATGCGCCTTGTAGTTCCAGCCTACTTGGAAGGCTGAGGTGGAAGGATCGCCTGAGCCCAGCAGGTTGAGACTGTTGTAACCATGAGCATGCCACTGCACTCTAGCCTGGATGATAGAGTGAGACTCCAACTCAAAAAAGAGAAAAGAAAAAAGAAGTGGATGAATTTAGAGTCTGTTATACTCAGTGATCCATCACAGAAACAAAGAACTGAGTACTGCATGTTCTCACTCATAGGTAGACCCTGAACATTTATCGTAATATGACATGAAAGGGATTGGCAGTAGCAGGTCACTGCCAGGGGATGCGTGGGCCTCATAGCACTAATAAGGATGCCTGATCCCAAACCAGGCAAAGTGAGGACCAATGGGAGGCCCAAACTTACTTGTATGATGACTACTTATGTACCTAACCCTGAGTTGTACCCTACATCTTTAAAATAAAAAAATAAAAGAAGTGGTCAACTATTGTTGGGATGCCAGCTGAAGACTAGGGCAGATTCTGGTGCACCAACACCAGACACTAGACGTTGATCTGAGGACTCAGCTGTTGTTGGCAGGTCATATTTCTAGGCCACATGTTTACAGGTCATATACAGGTAAACAGAGGTGTGGACAGTATCTCACTTTACCTCAGCCTGCTGGAGAGCGAGGGGAGAAGGTAGGGCTTTCTTTCCTTTCTAAGAATACTGTGTACACCACGGGCAGGGTCCTGCCCTCACTTTAGGGCAGAAATGAAGCCAACAGTTTTTTTCCTCCTCCCTGGGAATCACTTTCTAGGCAGAAACTTGTTTGGATGGAAGCATGCCTTTCAGTATATTGAAGTGTTAAACGTAGAGCTTAAGAGGGGAGGTGCCCGGAATTCTGTGTGAAAATCTGCTTCCCTTCAGTTCTGCTTGTTCTTTTAGCCCCTCACTTTTCCAAAGGATCAAGGTTTTCTAGGGTATAGAATAAGGTGAGTAATTACCTTTAAAGCAGGAAAAAGGCATTGGTCTTAGAGATGGCACACACCAGATTTTTGGAACTTGAACCCTGAGCCCCAGGGTACTAAAGGTGTCATTTACAGTGCACCAGAAAGAATCTAAGGAGCAGTTGGGACGGTTGAAAAGATAT